GATTTTAGTGGGGTTTGGGTGGATTTTGCAAGGAAATGGGGCTGAATTGAGTCAGAAGAATGGGAATCTGGAATTCCCTGCTCCCACATGGAATATTGAACAGAATTCCAAGCTCCAGTAATTAATGGGGTTCAAACCAAAATTTACTGATTTTTTGTGGTTTTTAGTGGGGTTTTTTGGTAGGATTTTGGTGGGTTTTGGGTGGATTTTCCAAGGAAAATAGGGATGAAAGGAGTCAGAAGTGAGCAGCTGGATGGGAAACCTGGAATTCCCTGCTCCCACATGGAATATTGAACAGAATTCCAGGCTTCAGCAATTAATGGAATTCCAACCCAATTTTGCCAGTTCTTGGTGGTTTTTTGTGAGATTTTGATGTTTTTGGGGTGGGTTTTCCAAGGAAGTGGCAATGAAGTGAGTCAGAAGAATGGGAATCTGGAATTCCCTGCTCCCACATGGAACATTGAACAGAATTCCAGGCTCCAGTAACTAATGGAACTCCAACCAAATTTTACTGGTTTTTGGTGGGTTTTTTTGTGGGGTTTTTGTGTTTTTTGGGTGGATTTTCCAAGGAAAAGGGGCTGAAATGAGTCAGAAGTGAGGAGCTGGATGGGAAACCCAGAATCCCCTGCTCCCACATGGAACATTGAACAGAATTCCAGGCACCAATAACTAACGGAACTCCAACCAAATTTTACCTTTTTTTGAGAGGTTTTGGGTGGACTTTCCAAGGAAAAGGGGCTGAATTGAGTCAGAAGTGAGGAGCTGGATGGGAAACCTGGAATCCCCTGCTCCCACATGGTACATTGAACAGAATTCTAGGCACCAGTAATTAATGGGGTTCCAACCAAATTTTACTGGTTTTTGGTGGGTTTCAGTGGGGTTTTTTGTAGGATTTTAGTGGGGTTTGGGTGGATTTTCCAAGGAAATGGGGATGAAAGGAGTCAGAAGTGAGGAGCTGGATGAGAAACCTGGAATTCCCTGCTCCCACATGGAACATTGAACAGAATTCCAGGCACCAATAACTAACGGAACTCCAACCAAATTTTACCTTTTTTTTATTTTTTTGTGGTTTTTAGTGGGGTTTAGGGGTTTTTTTTGGTAGGATTTTGGTGGGTTTGGGCGGATTTTCCAATGAAATGGGGATGAAAGGAGTCAGAAGTGAGCAGCTGGATGGGAAACCTGGAATTCCCTGCTCCCACATGGAACGTTGAACAGAATTCCAGGCACCAGTAATTAATGGGGTTCAAACCAAATTTTACTGATTTTTTGTGGTTTTTAGTGGGTTTTTATGTTTTTTTAGTAGGATTTTGGTGGGTTTGGGTGGATTTTCCAAGGAAAAGGGGCTGAAATGAGTCAGAAGTGAGGAGCTGGATGGGAAACCTGGAATTCCCTGCTCCCACATGGAACATTGAACAGAATTCCAGGCACCAGTAATTAATGGGGTTCTAACCAAATTTTACTGATTTTTGGTGGGGTTTTTTGTGGGGTTTTTGTGGTTTTTGGGTGGATTTTCCAAGGAAATGGGGCTGAAATGAGTCAGAAGTGAGCAGCTGGATGGGAAACCTGGAATTCCCTGCTCCCACATGGAACATTGAACAGAATTCCAGGCACCAGTAACTAACACAACTCCAACCAAATTTTACCCTTTTTTTTTGAGAGGTTTTGGGTGGACTTTCCAAGGAAAAGGGGCTGAATTGAGTCAGAAGTGAGGAGCTGGATGGGAAACCTGGAATCCCCTGCTCCCACATGGTACATTGAACAGAATTCTAGGCACCAGTAATTTATGGGGTTCAAACCAAAATTTACTGATTTTTTTGTGGTTTTTAGTGGGGTTTAGGGGTTTTTTTTGGTAGGATTTTGGTGGGTTTGGGCGGATTTTCCAATGAAATGGGGATGAAAGGAGTCAGAAGTGAGCAGCTGGATGGGAAACCTGGAATTCCCTGCTCCCACATGGAACGTTGAACAGAATTCCAGGCACCAGTAATTAATGGGGTTCAAACCAAATTTTACTGATTTTTTGTGGTTTTTAGTGGGTTTTTATGTTTTTTTAGTAGGATTTTGGTGGGTTTGGGTGGATTTTCCAAGGAAAAGGGGCTGAAATGAGTCAGAAGTGAGGAGCTGGATGGGAAACCTGGAATTCCCTGCTCCCACATGGAACATTGAACAGAATTCCAGGCACCAGTAATTAATGGGGTTCCAACCAAATTTTACTGGTTTTTGGTGGGTTTCAGTGGGGTTTTTTGTAGGATTTTAGTGGGGTTTGGGTGGATTTTCCAAGGAAATGGGGATGAAAGGAGTCAGAAGTGAGGAGCTGGATGAGAAACCTGGAATTCCCTGTGGGGTTGGGTTTTGGTGGCCCAGCTCTGCGGACACCAGAAATGCGAACCCCACATGAAGTACAACAAGCTCAACTGAGCCCTCAGGTTAGCAGAATTTGGGGTTTTTTCCCTTTTTTTTCCATGGAAATTTGGGGTTTTTAGGTGAAATGTCAGGGTGGTGTTGGCTCGTCCCTCAGGGGTTGGGTTGGTGGGACTGGGGGTGGGGTTTGGTGGCCCAGCTCTGCGGACACCAGAAATGCGAACCCCACATGAAGTACAACAAGCTCAACTGAGCCCTCAGGTTAGCAGAATTTGGGGTTTTTTCCCTTTTTTTTCCATGGAAATTTGGGGTTTTTAGGTGAAATGTCAGGGTGGTGTTGGCTCGTCCCTCAGGGTTTGGGTTGGTGGGACTGGGGGTGGGTTTTGGTGGCCCAGCTCTGCGGACACCAGAAATGCGAACCCCACATGAAGTACAACAAGCTCACCTGAGCCCTCAGGTTAGCAGAATTTGGGGTGTTTTCCCTTTTTTTTCCATGGAAAGTTGGGGTTTTTAGGTGAAATGTCAGGGTGGTGTTGGCTCCTGCCTCAGGGGTTGGGTTGGTGGGACTGGGGGTGGGGTTTGGTGGCCCAGCTCTGCGGACACCCGAAATGCGAACCCCACATGAAGTACAACAAGCTCACCTGAGCCCTCAGGTTAGCAGAATTTGGGGTGTTTTCCCTTTTTTTTCCATGGAAAGTTGGGGTTTTTAGGTGAAATGTCAGGGTGGTGTTGGCTCCTGCCTCAGGGGTTGGGTTGGTGGGACTGGGGGTGGGTTTTGGTGGCCCAGCTCTGGGGATGCCCCAGGTGAACTAGGACAAGCTCAACCAGGCCCTCAGGTCGGTGAAATTTGGGGTTTTTTCCCTTTTTTTTTTCATGGAAATTTGGGGTTTTTAAGTGGGATGTCGCGGTGATGGCATCCCGCGTGGCTCGTCCCTCAGGGGTTGGGTTTTGGTGGCCCGGCTCTGGGGGCACCAGAAATGCAAACCCCACATGAAGTACAACAAGCTCAACTGAGCCCTCAGGTCAACAGAATTTGGGGTTTTTCCCCCAGAATTTTGGGGTTTTTTAGTGAGATGTCAGGGTGATGGCATCCCCCATGGCTTGTCCCTCAGGGTTTGGGGTGGTGGGATTGGCCCAGCTCTGGGTTTTGGTGGCCCAGCTCTGGGGACACCAGAAATGCAGATCCCACGTGAAGTACAAGCTCAACCAGGCCCTCAGGTCGGTGGAATTTGGGGTTTTTCCCCTTTTTTTTCCATGGAATTTTGGGGTTTTTAAGTGGGATGTCGCGGTGATGACATCCAGCGTGGCTCGTCCCTCAGGGTCTGGGGTGGTGGGGTTGCGGTTGGGTTTAAGGTCCTTTTTCCACCCCAAAAATGCTCCAGGATTCCATCAGATGGGGTTTTAGGGATAAATCTTTCCCTGGTCCAGGTCATTCCGTGGATTTCCCATCCCTGGGAGTGCCCAGTTCCAGCTTGGTGCGACCTGGGAATGTGGGAGCTGCCCCTGGCCCTGGATTTTTGAGGATGTTTGAGCTCTTTCCAACCCAAACCACCCCAGAATTCCATATTTTCGTTTAAACAGGAAATTAGGAAGGAATTCCTCTGGAATTCTGGATGTTTAAGGGTATTTGAGCAGGAAATTAGGAAGGAATTCCTCAGAAATTCTGGTTTTTTAAGGATATATGAGCTCTTTCCAACCCAAACCATCCCAGAGTTCCATATTCTGGTTTGAACAGGAAATTAGGAAGGAATTCTTCAGAAATTCTGGTTTTATAAGGATATTTGAGCTCTTTCCAATCCAAATCACCCCAGAATTCCATATTTTGGTTTAAACAGGAAATTAGGAAGGAATTCTTCAGGAATTCTGGTTTTTTAAGGCTATTTAATATTTAAGATCATTCCAACCCAAACCATTCCAGAATCCCACATTTTGGTTAAACAGCATTTTAGGAAGGAATCTCTCAGGAATTAGGAAGGAATTCTGGATTTTTGGGTGCTTCAATCAGGTCTTTTCCATTTTTTAAAAATCTATTCCCAGATATTACTACAACAAGAGGATCCTGCACAAGACCAAGGGCAAAAGATTCACCTACAAATTCAACTTCAACAAGCTGGTGATGCCCAATTATCCCTTCATCAACATCCGGCCCAACGGTGAGCCCCGGGAATTCCAGCTGGGAATGGGGTGGGGGGGGGGAACCCCCCAAAAAAAACCCCCAGGAATGTGGAATTTGTTTTTTTCCACAGCCAGCCTGGATAAAAAAAGCCAAAACCTGGGAGCAAATCCCGGCTGCAGTGGGGGATGTGGGCTCAGGGTTTATCTTTCCCCGGGGATTGTTGGGATTTGTGGGATAAGAGGATCAGCCTTGGGATGCAATCCTGGCGTGGCTCAGGTGAGTTTATGGGGCCTTGTACAAATCCACGGCTTTTTCTCCCTTCTCTCCCCCTTTTCCCACTCCTTTTCAACCAGAATTTGCTCTTTTTTAACCCGTTCCTGCCCCAGAGTTGGGAGGAATTCTTTAAGGATTGCAGCGGTCCTGGAGGAAACCAGGAATTCCTTGGATTTTGACTAAAAATCATAAATATTTCTCTGGAGGAGAGAGGATAATGAGGAAGAGTTTGGGAATGGAGCATAAATGTCCCTTTTTTGCCCTAAAATAGTTTTGCCAGGTTTATCCTGGAGTCAGCAGCGGTTTCTTGGGAAAGGAGTCTTTCCAAGGGGATTTTCAATGGAATTAAAGCCCCTAAGAGCCAAATTCCTGCAGCTGGGGGATTGTCCCCTTCCAGGCACGGTGGGAAAATGAATCCATAAAAACAGAAAGCTCCTCTGGAAGTCGATATTCCCAGAAATTCCAAACTTTTCTCCTCACAAAATCTCGATTTAGAGGAGCTGGGCCTGGCACACTCTGCTGCAGGCAAAGCCTGAAAGGCCAGTTCAGCAGGCAAAAAAAGCAGAAAAAGTGGGGAAATTGGTGATTATTGAATCCATAAAGACAGAAAAACCCTCTGGAAGTCGATATTCCCAGAAATTCCAAACTTTTCTCCTCACAAAATCTCGGTTTAGAGGAGCTGGGCCTGGCACGAGGTGCTGCAGGGAAGAGCCTGCAAGGCTGATCCAGCGGGGTAAAAAAGCAGAAAAAGTGGGGAAATTGGTGATTATTCAATCCATAAAGACAGAAAAACCCTCTGGAAGTCGATATTCCCAGAAATTCCAAACTTTTCTCCTCACAAAATCTCGGTTTAGAGGAGCTGGGCCTGGCACGAGGTGCTGCAGGGAAGAGCCTGCAAGGCTGATCCAGCGGGGTAAAAAAGCAGAAAAAGTGGGGAAATTGGTGATTATTCAATCCATAAAGACAGAAAAACCCTCTGGAAGTCGATATTCCCAGAAATTCCAAACTTTTCTCCTCACAAAATCTCGGTTTAGAGGAGCTGGGCCTGGCACGAGGTGCTGCAGGGAAGAGCCTGCAAGGCTGATCCAGCGGGGTAAAAAAGCAGAAAAAGTGGGGAAATTGGTGATTATTCAATCCATAAAGACAGAAAAACCCTCTGGAAGTCGATATTCCCAGAAATTCCAAACTTTTCTCCTCACAAAATCTCAGTTTAGAGGAGCCCGGCCTGGCACGCTCTGCTGCAGACAAAGCCTGGAAGGCCAGTCCAGCAGGGAAAAAAACAGGGTAAAAAGCAGGGAAAGTGGGGAAATTGGTGATTATTGAATCCATAAAAACAGAAAGCTCCTCTGGAAGTCAATATTCCCAGAAATTCCAAACTTTTCTCCTCACAAAATCTCAGTTTAGAGGAGCTGGGCCTGGCACGAGCTGCTGCAGGGAAGAGCCTGCAAGGCTGATCCAGCACGGTAAAAAAGCAGAAAAAGTGGGGAAATTGGTGATTATTGAATCCATAAAGATACAAAAACCCTCTGGAAGTCGATATTCCCAGAAATACCACACTTTTCTCCTCACAAAATCTCAGTTTAGAGGAGCTGGGCCTGGCACGAGCTGCTGCAGGGAAGAGCCTGCAAGGCTGATCCAGCAGGGTAAAAAAGCAGGAAAAGTGGGGAAATTGGTGATTATTGAATCCATAAAGATAAAAGAACTGTCTGCAAGTCGTTGTTCCCAAAAATTCCAAACTTTTCTCCACAAAAAAGTCCCGATTTGGAGGATCCTGATGCAGCCTCCAGGGTAGAGCCTGGAACACCAACCCAGCAGGGAAAATAGGGATAAAAGCAGGTTCTGTGTGGAGAAAAAAGGGATTTTTCCAGGCTGGAGCCTCTGTCCGGCGCCATCTCCAGGGCTGCCTCCCCTCCCTGAGGGAATCACTGAGGTTTTGTTTTTCCAAGGCTCCGGGAAGGCCAAAAAAAAAAAAAGAAAGGGAAAAATTCCTCCAGGTGTTGGTGTCTCCTTCACCTGTGTGGGCCCTGCTGGGGTTTGTTTTATTTTCTTTTTTTTTTTTTTTGAGGGGAGGAGGGAATGTCTTTTCCAAGCCAAGGAACGGGGGTGGGAAGATGTGTCTGGAGCTGTAATTCCGTAATTAACTGGGAGCAAACGAGTCCGGGCAGTTCCCAGCTCCCTCTCCTGATCCCTCCTGTCCCTGGGGCACTTGGAAAAAAAAATTTGGTAGAATTTGGAACGCTCTTGGTTAATCCCAGCCCTTTTCATTCCCGACGGGGTGGGGGTTAGGACAGCAAACCTGGAATTTGGGGGTTTTCTCCAGGATTTTCCCCTCCTGCACGGAGGTTTTTTTGGTGGAAATAGGAGAGATTTGGGTGGGAATTTGAGATGTTTTTGTGGGTCTTTGAGGTAGTTCCGTGGATTGATGAGATTCCCCCCTCAGAGGAGAGGTTTTTGTGGATATCCGAGATATTTCCGTGGATATTGGGCATATTTCCATGGATGTTTCAGCCATTCCCATGGATTGATGAAATTCCCCCTCAGAGAAGAGGTTTCCATGGACATTGGAGATATTTCCATGGATTTTTATGGATATTGGGAGACATTTCCATGGATTGCTGAGATGCCCTCTCAGATGAGATATTTTCATGGATATTTGAGTTTTTTCCCATGATATTTCAGACATTTCCATGGATTGATGAGTTTCCCCCTCAGAGAAGTGGTTTTAATGAGTATTTGAGATATTTCCGTGGATATTTGGGTTTTTCCCATGGATATTTCAGACGTTTCCATGGACTGATGCCATCCCCACTTGAAATACTTCCACGCATTTCCAGACTATCCCCACGAACTTCAGCCAACTCTTCCCACAGCTCCCCAGCCTCCAACCCGCCAATCCCTAAATCCCCTAACTCTGTTCCCCTTCTTTTCCCCACATTTTTCCCCCCTTTCTTCCCCCTTTTCTCCCCTTTTTCCCCCCTTTTCCCCCTTTCCCCCTTTTCTCCCCCTTTCTCCCGTTTTTCCCCCTATTTTCACCCCTTTTTTCACCTTTTCCCCCCCTTTCTCCCCCTTTTCCCGCCTTTTTCCCCCCTTTTTCACCCCTTTTTCCCCCTTTTCCCTCTTTTTTTCACATTTTCCCCCTTTCCCCCCCTTTTCACCCTGTTCCCCCCACTTTTTTTCACCATTCCCCCCTTTTTTTCACCTTTCCCCCCTTTTTTCCCCCTTTTCCCCCATTTTTCACTTTTCCCCCCCTTTTCCCTCCATTTCC